GCTCATTTTTTAACGGGTGTATTTTTGTGGTTGTTGTTGATTTGTGGGAGTTCTTTATATATTCTGGATGTTAACCCCTTATCTGTTACATGATTTGCAGATATTCTCTCCCATTCCGTAGGTTGGCTTGCAGTTTTGTTAGTGATGTTTGAGCAAAAACATGAAGGAGGATCAAGAGTTTTCAATTTGACTGTGTGATCCAAGAGCCCTGCAGGCAGAGTGAACAGCAGGTGAAAACAGTCAGACACAGGAGGCTGACCAGTGAGTGAGGAGCAGCAAGGATGTCCAAGTGATTACACAGAGGGAGGCAGGGCCAACAAGCAGGAAATGAGTTTGGGGAAGTCAGCGTGTGTGTACATCACGTCTGCACACACAGGACACTGTGGGCATCTGGAGACTTTCAGGCAGAAGAGGATCCTGATCCCACTTTTCATTTTTACAGGATCCCTCAGGCTGTTGTGCACAGAGAGACTGTGTGTATCAGGGAAGTTAGAAAAGGGGCTGGTGAAACATTCAGGCAGGAGATGATGGTGGCTGGAGCCAGGATGGCGTGAGGGTGGGGCCTGATCGGATTCTGGGTGAATTCTGAAGTTAAGGCTACTGAGAGTTGATAATGGACTGGGAGTGTGGTGTGAGTGACAGAAAGGGGTCAAGGATGACTCCTAGATTTCTGCACTGAGCAGCCAGAAAAGTGGAGGCAACAATCACTGAGGTTGAGATGATTGGAGGAAGAGATTTGGGGGAGAAAAGGAGAAGTTCGGTCTGAATATGTTGAGTTTTCTGTTTGTTTTGACAGGGAATGGGCATTTCAAGTATACCTTTGGATCAAAGTCTTTCCAGAGAGGAGAAGGAGCTGGAGGTACGGAATTGGGAGTCATCAACCTATTAGATGAGATGAAGCCAATGTAGTGGATGAGGTCACGGAAGAAAGTCAAAGAAGGAAAGAGATGGGGGCTGCTCTGATATTTAGGGGCAGGGAGATGGGGAGCATCCAGCAAGGGGGCTTCCAGCTATGTCAATGGACCCAGAAAGTGTGATGTCTTGTAATTAAGTCTAAAGGGGCTTTCCTTTAGGGCAGGTGTGCAGTCGGGTCACCTGCTGCTGCAAAGTCCAGAGAGGTGAGGACTGAAAGATGGCTATTTGGATTTCACCAGCAGAGGTCACTGGTAGCTTGATAACAGCAGTATCGGGAAGTGTGTGTGTGTGTGTGAATCTTAATTTGAATTATGAAGAGAATGGGAGGGGCAAAAATATTAACAATTCTGTTGAAATGTTCTCTTGTCAAGAGGAGCAGCAGAGAAGGATGCTCCTTGGCAGCACTAGTCACTCTCTTCCATGTGAGTCTGTGTTACTTTCTTGTTGCTGCTGTGATGAATCACCACAAATTCAGTGGCTTCCAACAACCTAAATTTATTATCTTACGGTTCTGGAGGTCACAAGTCCAAAATGGGTTTCACTGTGCTAAAAGGAAGGCATTGGCCAACAGGGCTGAGGCCCCTTTTGGAGGCTCCAGGGGAAAATGCATTTTCTTGCCTTTTCCATCCTCTAGAGGGCGCCTGCCTTCCTTGGTTCGTGGCCTCCTCTTCCTCTATCTTCAAGGCCAAAAGTACAATGTCTTCAAATCTTTCTCTGCCTCCTTTCACATGTAAAGACCCTTTTGATTACCTTAGGCCCTCCCAAATAATCCAGGAGAATGTCCCCATCTCAATATCCTTCACTTAATTCCATCTGTAAAGTCCCTTTTCCTTATGTAGTCTAACACATTCACAGGTTCCTAGGGATTAGGGCTTGGACATCACCTTGGACAGCCACCATTGGGGGGGCTGTTATTCTGCCTACCACAGGGACATAATTTCTTTGACTGACTTGTCCTTCCACCAAACTGCGAGCTTCCCAAGGGCAGGTGACATGCCTGAATCAAGGCCCTATAATCCTCTCTCGCTTACCCAGTTCCTGTCCAACACACCATAATTCACAATTAGATATTTATTTGCTTAACTCATATTTTGCTGCCTTCCTCAATTAAAGAGTAAGCCGCAAGAAGTCAGGGTCTGTGTCTGCTGTGTCCACCAGAGAACATCCAGCACCCAGCTCAGGGCCTCACACACAGGGGGCCTCACGCTTCGTGGTCAGAAAGAACTAGATTGGATCCTGGTTTCATCAGGGATATTTTGCTGAGGAAGATTAGCCCTGAGCTAACATCTGATGCCAATTCTCCTCTTTTTGCTGAGGAAGATTGGCCCTGGGCTAACGTCCGTGCCCATCTTCTTCTACTTTATATGTGGGACGCCAGCCACAGCATGGCTTGATAAGCAGTGCCTAGGTCCGTGCCGGGGATCTGAGCCTGCGAACCCAGGGCTGCCAAGCAGAGTGCACGAATTTAGCCACTATGCTTCCAGGCTGGCCGCTTCCTCAGGGACTTTGAGCATGTTGCTTACTTTGATCATCGCCGTTGTCATATATATAAAATGGAGACAATGATAATATCTTCCTTATGGGGTTGTTGTGGGAAGCTCATGAGATTAGCAAGCACCAAATAATGTGTTCTTTAAATATCAAATATTCAAGGAAAACATAAAGAAAGGAGATGTCACGAAAAATGTATGTGGGATGAATGGAAGAAGGAATACGTGGGGTTCCCTCCTGGACACTCGCTGTCTTATCCTGTCCTTACTGTTCTGCTCTGACTCCCTTCTCTCTCCCTCTACTCAGGGTCCCCTGATTGAATCCCAGGAGAGCAGCTTCCCAGACCACCCTCCCCCAGATGTGGCTGCCCCCTGCTCAGGGGAGGAAGAACAGCTCCATTATACATCCCTCAGCTTTCATGGGATGAAGCCTCGGGATCCACAGGAAAGGGAGTCCGCTGCTAGTGAGAACTCAGAGATCAAGATCCACA